CCCGGCCGCCACTACTGTCTGCGCGGGATGGACTACTGCGCCTCTGGGATGCCTCCTAGCACAGAACGCCGCCTGCAGCCTTTGTGTTCGGTGCAGCCGACTGTAAGGTTCGCAGGGATCCGCCCGCCTTGGCCGGGCTCCACCCACTAACGAGCCCCGCCCCCTAGAGTCCCTCCCAAGTCTCCTGCAGGCTGGCATCTAGCCTCATTCTAGCTCTGTTGTTTCCACGCCAGGCCCCCATCGGCTTCTGCCTGTTTACAGGGCCTCAGGGCACAAGCGAACAGCTAAGACAGAGAACCAGCAAGAAGGTTACTCCCAAGTCCTCAGTCCTGTCCCTTCCAACAGTGCTCAAGGTCAACCTGACAAGTGTTTGTATTCTGGAGATCCTGCAAAACAGTTTCAGAGGATTCCAAACCCCTCACATCAGCCGCAACCTTTTCTCACATTCACAGGCCCTGGTCTGTATTGGACCCTTGGGTCTGGAGACAGAGGTTCTAGCCTGGGCCTAAGAGAACCCTCAGCAGTGGGCAGGACCATCGTTGGGGCAAAGGAAGTGGTTACTGCTTTCCCACAGGGTTCGTGGATTCCTTGAGAGCCTAGAGAGAAACTCAGCATCCAGACTGCATCCAGCCACAGCAGACAATACTGGTGGGAGGGGGGTGCTTTCATGTCTGTGAGTGTTGAGAGCTGTGCAGAGGGGGTCCTGAACCGTATCCCTAATCCTATGATGATCTAGCCCTCCTCAAGCCTGATTCCTTGTCTAAGATCAGGTCTTTTCCTTCAGAAGGGGTGTGTGTTTTGGGAAAGTGTGTGAGCCTCTAGAAGGCCTAGAAATGCTAACTACTTCCCCGAGTTGAAGAAATCGCTGTCTCACAGAAGCGGGGGTGGGGGTGGGGGGTCGGGTATGCTGGATCCTCAAAGGCTGCATCTGATCCTGCAGATTCTGGCAGCAAAAACCAGGCATTGGTGGGGAGGGGACTTCCTGGAGCCTTCTCAGAGGCCCTGAAGTAGTGGATTTATGAAGGGCAAAGAAGGAACCACAGAAGTGATACTGTACCCAGGTTCTTGGTCTGGAATATTGAGATATGAGGTTATCAAAACAAAACAAAACAAAACAAAACAAAAAACCGACCTCAGCCGGGCGTTGGTGACGCATGCCTTTAATCCCAGCACTCAGGAGGCAAAGGCAGGCGGATCTCTGAGTTCGAGGCCAGCCTGGTCTCCAGAGCGAGTGCCAGGATAGGCTCCAAAGCTACACAGAGAAACCCTGTCTCGAAAAACAATAAAACAAAACAAAACAAAACAAAAACAAAAAACAAAACAAAAAACCGACCTCTCCTTGCTGTTTCTTCCTTCACTAGGAATGTCTCGACCTGCGGTCACCGGCCCGGAATGCATTGTATTGTTACAACTCCCCCGCCGTCATACTACCCATTTCCCAACCTTAAGTAAGTTTGGCGCATTCACTTGCACGCTGGAGACAGTGCCTTTTGGAGGTGGGGATGGTGGGAAATGCCTGTTGAAGTGCTCAGGCAGGAAATTAACGCCAGGGGGCGCTAATGCTATTGGGAAGTCAATGGTTGAGATACACCAGAAGACCTCAATGAGAGCTTTGAGTTGGCAGCGGACTTAGAGTCAAGGGAATTGGGTTCAAGGTTTTATATATAGGGTAAGAAGTCAAGGCTGGGAAATTATGTATTGGGTATCGTAAATTTACCAGTAGAACTTGAGGTCAGTGTGTGGTCAGTGTCAGAGGTAAAATGTTGACATAGGGTTAATATTGAGAATTGGAGTCAGGGTTATCTCTCCTTACAGATGGGACACAAGTCACTTCAAGAAAACTGGTGGTCCCCAGAGAAACAACTATGTTGTACATCCTGAGTTTGTGTCTGAGACCTATCCCGTCTACCATTCCTGGTAAAGATTTGGCCAGGCCAAGGAAGAGGGTGGAGCAATAAACTCTTCACCACAAAGACTGTTTCCTGTGTCCTTACCTAGAAAGATCTGGATGTGAACTCTCTCCAGTCATCTCAGGACACTCCTAAGTGCCCTCCTGATATAGCAGTAATCCAGCTGGGGTCCTTCCCATCACTGCAGGGCTTGAGTCCAGCTAGCCATTCAGATCTGTCAACTTGAAGACTCTCTAGCCAACGTTCCCTCCAATATATCCATGCACATAGACTCCTCTCCATCTCATCCCAGGTCTCCATTACACCTCCCAAATGTTCTCTGCTCAGAAAACTTTGCCACCCTTCCCCCCCCCAAGTCTAAGAGCTACAGAACATAATTTTGGAAAGACTCACGATCAAGAAACAGATTGGTTTCTCTATCCTACAAGGGAGCAGAGGGTGGGGAGCTTTGAAATCTTCTCTTGCTCCAATGCTTGCTTTAGGGGAAAGGGTATCATAGCACAGCACACCCATCTCTGCACTCTGAAGTACAGGCCTTTTTGTTATTTATTTTGGTTTTTCGAGACAGTAACTATTCTGAAACTCTATAGACCAGACTGGCCTTGAATCCACCTGCCTTTGCCTCCCAAGTGCTGAGAATAAAGACATGTGCCTGGCCCAGCATAGGCATTTATAACTAAAAGTTGTCACTAAGGGAAGGGGCTACACATTAAAGGTCAGAGGGTGGGCAGTGCAAAACACTGAGCAGAAACAGAGACACTGCTGGTGCTCCTTCTAAGGAGCTCTTGACTGGGGTATTAGTGGACAGTGGGAGCACAGGTCCTCCCAGAATTGTGATACCCGTTTTTACACTTATTATGTGTTGTGTGGAGATGAGTGGTTGGCTTGTGGGAGTCAGCTCTCTCCTTCCACCCTATTGGTTCTTCAGCAGGCTTGGTGGCAAATGCCTTTACCTGCTTACCATCGCTCCAGTCCCGTTTTAGTTCTTTAAAGTATTCAGCTGCCCAAATCTAAAGGGAATGGATTCTCAAAGACTTCTTAGTCAGTGTTTATTGCTGTGCAGACACACCATGACCACAGCAGCTCTGATAAAAGAAAGCATTTAATTGGGGCTTGCTTACAGTTTCAGAGGTTAGTCCATTGTCATCACTGTGGGGAGCATGGCAACAGGCAGGCATGGTGCTGGAGAAGTAGCTGTGAGCTACATCCTGATCTACAATCAGAGAGACTTTGGGTCTGGAATGGGCTTTTGAAACCTCAGAGCCCACCCCCACTGACACACTTCATCCGACAAGGCCATGCCTCCTAATCCTTATAAACCCTTCATAGAGTACCATGCTCAGGTACCTAAGCACTCAAACAGACGAGTCTATGGAGCCATTCTTATTCAAACCACCACAGCTACCTCTGCCCCTTCACTTTGCGGTGCTCTCATACACATAACAAACCTAGTCTGGAGTTGCAAGAACTCCAACATTCAGCAACTCCTTCATCCTTCAGAACTACATCTCCCATAAGGCCTGGGGATCAGCCAGGCTAGCGATGGCCTGCTCATAACAGGGGCGGCGCCTGAGGCAGGAGGTGAAACCAAGGGGCACCAATCTAGAGGCGGGCCCAAAGGGCAGAGCTTGGGCGGAGAGGAGAAAGTCCGGACAAGGCACTCGCAGCTTCAAGAGGCTGTGGGGGAGGGGCCGCAGGCCAGGGGTGGGGCCGGAGTCCCAGGCCTGAAGCCACATTGGACGGCTGGGCGTGGCCGAGTAGCCCAAGGGCGGGGCGTAGGAGGGGCTCGGCCGTGCCTAGCCAGGCAGCAACCAGCAGGGGCTGTGGCTGCTTAACTTCTGTTAGCGTGGAAAGAGAATCTGCCGGGAGATCCCTTCTCCCCTTCTTCCGTGTGGTGGTCACTGCGGTGAGTGAGCCCAGTAAGAGGCCCTTGAGGCCGAGGGGTGTTGAGCTGCCTAAGAGCACAGTTTCTGAATTTTCTCGTTGGTAGAGCAACCCTGGACACCTGCGCCCCTCCTTTAGGCCAGAGGGTCCCAGCCGGCGACGGGTTCCTTGACTTTCCTCTGCCCCTTTGGGCCGCGTCGGGTGTGGCGCCAAGGGTGGGTGTCAAGTATTCCAGGCTGAGTTAGCTCAGTCACTTGATCTTTGTGGATCCTGTCCCTGAGCAGGGGAGGGAGATGGGCAGGATCGAATTGCCTTTGACATTTCCACTCCCCTTCCAACTATGTCCGACAATGGACTCTGCCTTAAGTGGTTCAGTTTGGCTGATCTGGGCCCTCGCCCTTAAACTGTAGGCTAAGGGCTGGCAGCCAAAACTGAGCTTGAGTGTGAAGTCAGCGGGAAGAGGCTTCTTGGGCTGAGCCTATAGGAAGGCCCGCTCAGCCGATCCCACCTGCTAGCTTTAGCCTGTGTTTGGCCAGATGGTAGGCGCGACAAATTACCGGGTCTTGAATGCCACTTAAAAGTGGAGCCACAGAGTTCCTCCCCGACAGCTGCAATACCAGATGCCATTAAATTGCCCCTTTCGCACCCCTAAAATCTTCCTGATCTGTCTGCGGCGAGCAGAAGCTGCAACAGCCCTTGAAAAGACAGGCCTCAACGGTCCACGCCCATCTCTCTTTATGGAAGGTGGAGGCAAAATTTTGAATCCCAAAATTTCGCCATCCGGGTGACTGCTGACAAGCCCTGTTTTCCCATCTGTAAAAGGGACACAATAGCTCACAGTGTTGTTGGTGTTGGATGCTGCAGGTTCCTTTGGAAGGACACAGTGAGGCCCCAACAAAGTGGGTGCTTAAGTCTGTGGGCTCCTGCCCTTCATCAAAGAACATAATAATTCTAAAAATTGGTTCTTGAAACCCAAGTGGTGAAAAAACTTTTGAGACCATCAAAGTGAGCTTTTCAGGCCTCCAGGGGCCATAAGGCCAACTTAATATGTAAGTTTTGAGGCTGAGGGGGTCTTTCTCATTTAGAACCAGACCCTCTCCTTTTAACCCTTTAGTGCCCAGAATGTAGCCTTGGCTGTTGAATAAATGACAGACATGTACAATAGTCAGGCTTGGGGCCCCACAGACTTCTTTGTGTTCCCCTTAGCTTTGTGAGGGTATCAGCAAAAGACACTGCTACCTACAGGAAACTAGGGCAACTCTAAATGTGTAGGTGGAAATAAGAGGTTATTCCAGACTAGGGTTGGGCAGTGCCTGGGGAGATTAAAGTTGTCTGGAGGGATAAAAATGGTAATCCCAGCAGAGGCAGAGGCAAGCAGATCTCTGAGGCCAGCCTGGTCTACAAAGGGTGTTCCAGAACAGCCAGGGAAACCGTCTCAAACAAACAAAGATAAAATAATGGTGCTAAGTATTATCTTCTAGAACCAAAATTCTGACCTGCACCTGACTTGCTATTTTTAAGATTCATTTATGTTTATTTTAATGTATGGGTATTTGCCTGAATGTCTGTGCACCACATATGTGCCTGGTGCCTGCAGAAGCCAGAAAAGGGCATTGGATCTCCTGGGACTGGGGTTACAGACACTTGTGAGCAGCCGTGTGGGTGTTAGGATTCGAACCCTAGGTCCTCTGGAAGTTAAGTGCTTTTAACTGCTGAGTCATCTCTCCAGCCTCTGCACCTGGCATTCTTGACAGATTCTGCATGTAAGAGCTGGACAAGTAGAAGAGCCTGAGTAGTTTTTCACCTTGGAAGTCACTGGAGACAGACAGATACTGGCACCTGGGAGGCAACTAATTAACCATCTGCCAGTCTCTCTCCTTCCTCCCCCCCCCCCAGCTGGGGAGTTAAGCAACTACTGGCTGGCAGTGTGTCTGCCTGTGTTTGCTTGTGACAGGTGCTGTTCCTTTGTTGGACTCTGCCCCTGAGGGTTGAGACAGGAGGAGTTAGGGGCCTTTATCAGAAGGTTGAAACAAACCTTCCACCAAGCCTAAGTTTTCCTGCAGACATATTTCAATGTTTAGCATACCTTGTGTGAATATTTATGTGTGTGGTGGTGGGCATCTGTTCCCTGGTGAGCTGAAGAGAGGTTATCAGGCTAGATGACTGAAACCTACCAAAGAGGTGACTTGAGGGTTTAGGGTAGGGAATGAGCTTGGTAGTCTTGAGATAGGCCTGGCTGGAATCAGAAAAGGAGCTGAGCTCAGATGTGGTGATATATGCTTGCATTGCCAGCTATCCAGGTTAGGGCAGGATGATCACAAAGTCAGGGCCACTTTTCTGGGCTGCATAGAAATGTATCTAGAACCATAACATGTCTGGAGCTCTGATTGCAATGCTTACAGCGTCTCTCCTGGGAGACAAGAAAGATGAGCAGAGAAATGGATTTACTTGATGGTTAGTGGCTTAGAGCCAGGGAGAGTTTGTGAGCAAAGGGGCAGAGCAGACAAGCAAGATTCTTCAGCAAGCTCCCGCCCCAGCCCTAATGTTGGACCCCAGTTCTGCCTTCCTCCAAATCAGTCTCTGTGACTGAATGTGGCTTTCAGTGCCTTAATTTCCAAATAGCCGTCTACTTGGATTCAAAATTAAATTCCATGACTGAGGTGTCCTTTTTCTCTTGTCCTTGACTCTCTAGAGGCAGGGAGGCCAGCCTACAGACTGCCCTGTTAAAGGTCTCAAGGAATTGGCTGGACCATTCGTGCATTCTTACCATGGCCAGAGCTTCTTCAATCCTCCTCCTTCAGGGGCTGTATGCTTATGCTGCGGGCCTGGACAGTGCCTTGCTTCTCCGGGTTTGTTTTCCACTGGGAAAGGGCAGAAGCATGCTCTCTCATTCACATGATTCTCTCCATTCACAGAGTTCTCACCAGTTTGGCAAGCGGTGGGGCCTGAGAGAAAGGAGGGTAAGACATCAACCGATTGTCCTGGACAAGAGCCCTGCCTTTGCCATTTGCTAAGCTCTTGGGCCCCTCTTCTAGGCTGCAGAAATGGAAATACCGTGGAAGAGAAAGCTCAGTGTCCTTTCTCTCCCCTTTGCAGGCTCCCGCAGGCCATATTCAGATGGGTTTGGTGTGGTGCTTCCTTCCTTAGCTGGGGACTAATGCCCCAGAACCTTCGGGAGAAGAGCCAGGTCTACCAGCGACACCGATCTGGTAGCAACGCGGGCCCCAAAAGCCTCAAAGCCATCCCAGCAGGAACCATGTACACTTTCCTGCCTGACAATTTTTCACCTGCCAAACCCAAGGCCTCCAAAGAGCTGAG